TATATGTGTTTCTCTTATTGGTTAATGAACAAAGCTGCTTTGACTTATGACAGGGCCGAATGTAGCCAGACTGAAAGACATACATGTAGAGAGGAGGTGGAGTAAAGGAGACACCATGTAGCTGCCAAAGGAGACAGGTGCCCGGCCCATGGGATGATTCCACTTGCCTTCAAGATGAGTCTTCCTCCCTAAGTCTTTCTGGAAATACCTTCCCAGACACAGTCAGAGATGTACCTCACCCATCTTCTGGGGGATTCTAAATCCAGTCCAGCTGACATGAAGATTAATCCTTACCTTCCAAATATTTCCCAAAACGTACTACTACTTTTTAATTACATTTGTTTGAATTACATTTTCTTATTTGTTGTGTATGTGGTGGGGGTGGGAGAATGTGTCCCACAGCACCAGTGCGAAGGTCAGAGGACAATGTACAAGAGTAGGTTCTCTCCTTCCATCATGCAGGTCTTGGTCATCAGGCTTGGTAGAAAATGCCATCTTGCTGGCCCCTATTTTATTTATTTGATTTATATAGCAAGTTTTTTTTTTTATCTTAGTGGGTCTGCTTTGATTTTCCTTAAGGTTGATGGTATTGAGCATCTATTGGTGATATATCAATATCAAATATATTATGCATTTGACATGTGTGTGGGAATGTGTGCACACACACGCCCCAGTGCAGGTGCAGAGGTCAGAGGAGAGTTTCCAGGAATCAGTTGTCTACTTCCAGCATCCTGGTGCTGTCCACTGAACTCATAAACTTGCACTGTAAGTGCTTTTACCCACCAGACCCTTAGCCCAGCCCAAAGTGTGAATTTTTTGGAGAGATGTCTATTCCAGTTCTCTGTCCATTTTTAAATCAAATTCATTGTTGTTGAGTTGTTGGTGTTCTTTTTTTTTTTTTTTTTTGAACCGGGGATATTGGCCTTCAATTCAATATAAGATCTGTAGATATTTTCTCCTAGTTCATGGGTTGCCCCTTTCGCTCAATTCCTAGTGCCCTTTTGTACATGAATGTTTCAAATTTGAAGTGTGTCATTGATCTGCTTTTCCTCTTATTACCTATGCTTTTTGTGTCGTTTAAAAAAAAAAAACCCGACAAACTGAATGCCTGATGCTCTCCCTCTTATCCAAGAGATGTTAAGTTTTAATACTTCCCCTTCAGTTTTTAATCCATCCAAGTTAACTTTTGTTCAGAATATTCAGTGTTCCAATACAGCTGCTGGAAATTATTCCCCCTTTGTCTTTCAATGTCCTTGGTACCCTTGTTGACAATAAATTGGCGGTGTACAAGGTGGCTTGCTTCTGGCCTCTCTGTTCTTCCCAGTGGTCTGTAAGTCTGCCTTGATGCTAGTACCATGTTGTTCAGATGACTGCAGCTTTACAGTAATATTTGAAATCAATAACGGTGAAACTTGAGTTTCTTTTCTCTCTTTAAGGTCGATTTTGGCTATTCACGGTTGCCATTTTTACATGGGTTTGTCTTTAGCTTTTAAAATTAAATGAATATTAACTTTATTAGTAACAAGTTACTAAAAGGCAAATTTAACAGAATTTAAGCTGTAGCCAAATGACTCCATATGTTACCAAACGACAACTCTCCAATAGTTCCCACTCTGTACCAAATTAATCCCCACCCGCTGTAAAATGACTCAAGTTCTCCACGGCTATCTTCTGTAGAGTTACTCTTCCTTGCCATACCCTTGCTTTCTATTTCTAACCTCTTCACTGATGCCTAGTCATGTTCAGATATTCTTACCATGGCTAGGTCTCTTCAGCATATCCTACCTGCCTGCACCACCAGAGCTGGCATGGCTCGTTCTCTATGCATCGCTGTGCCGCTGCTTCGCCATTCTCTCTGCCAAAGATGCTTCCCAGGTTTCCTCAGCCTCAAATTCTTCCTAGCTCTTTCTTTAGGAATTAGGTTACCATGCCTTGTGGATAATAAATATTGTGTGGCAATTATGTGGTAATTTATCAGTAGTTCTTCAAAGGCAGCAGCTAGATTTTCTATTTTTTTTCCAGTGTATAAATTTAGTCTATGATATACAAATAACTTCTGTTAAACTTAACAGAACTAAAAGAGGTTGGAGTCGCCCAGGAAAAGGCCTGCCTCTAAGAATGGATGTTGCCACTATGGGCTAAAGGAAGGACAAGAGGGAGAGGCCCTGTGCTGCTCTGGAGATCAGGCACACTGGGACTCAGAATGTATGAATGCTTGCTACATAATAGCAGTGTCTGCTGACTTCTACAGAGGAGGCTTGGAACATTCCCCTCTTGCCAGGTCGCCACACAGAACTTCTATTCAGAAAACCTATATAAAGTTCAAGGCCCTCCAAAGGCCACTGGGCAATCATCCAATCCTTCCCTCTGGTATAGTAGCCTTTCCCTGGAGGAATGCCAGAGGCCCTGAAGACCTTTTGATTCTCCAGTGCATAGAGATAGTGGAGACATGGTTTATGCAATTTTAGTTCTTGAGACTGTAGCTATTATGATTGTTATGTGGACGAAATGGTTTTAAATCCAAAGCAGACCCAATGGACTTGAATTTTGGGGACAGCCAAGATGAAAACCAACACATTAGGATATAGTGAGTGGTGGCAAGTGTCTAGCCCAAAGATGAGGGGAGTAGGCTGGCTCAGCAACTAGGATGAGAGAAATTCACATGCTGACAGAGGTTTTCTATCCTGCCCAGCTCCTCAGTCGTTCAGTCCCAAAGAAACACACAGAGGCCTTTATTAATTATAAACTGGTTAGCCGATTAGCTCAGGCTTTCTTATTAACTAATTCTTACATTAACCCATAATTCTTGTCTGTGTTAGCCACGTGGCTTGGTACCTTTTATCAGCAAGGCATTCTCACCTTGCTTCCTCTGTGTCTGGGTAACGAGTGCAGACGCAGACTTTCCTCTTCCCAGAATTCTCCTGTTCTGGTCACCCCGCCTATACTTCCTGCCTGGCTACTGATCAATCAGCGTTTTATTAAACAAGTACGAGAGACAAATCTTTACAGGGTACAAGACCATTGTCCCAGAGCAGTCACAGGCCAGTAAGGGGTGTTTGCCAAGGAGGTGGTAACACAAAAGCTCACAGGCATACGTGATGGCTTTCCCAGGCCACTATTCCCCCCACATATGGTAAATGAGAGTCAGAATGGCTCTGTTGTTCAGTGAAGTTGATATCACCTGTGTACATGACAGGGTGTGTGTGTATGTGTGTGGTGTGTGTGGTTTTTCAGCTGAGGACTGATGTCAGGTTTTATGCATTCTAGACAGGAGGTCTAGGATGTACTTCAAGGCAGGAAGAGATCTTTTTCTTTAAAGGAAGAGAGAAAGAGGGGAGGGAGAGACAGGGAGAGATGGGGGAGGGGGAGAAAGAGAGAGAGACGGAAATAGACAGGGAGAGAGAGATATGTATCTCATGATGACCTTGAATGTCTTTAGTCAAGGATGACCTTGAACTTTTGATCTTCTTTCCCATACCTTTTAAGTATTGCAATTCCAGGCTGCATTTCTGTGTCCAGTGTACATGGCACTGTAGACCAAAGCAGAGCTTTATGCATGCTAGGCAGGCACTCTACCAGCTAAACTGCATTTCCAGCCCGGGGGTGAATTTTTAATTGCCAGTATCAACCTGTTATGTTCAATTTTTGGCTCCACTTATTTTTCCTAAAAATTGAGAAAATGCCACAGGAACTAACAATGTTGTCTGAAGTAGTTTTTTTTTTGTTTGTTTTTTGTTTTTTGGTTTTTTTTTTAGAATTTAAGAATGCTTTATTATTTAATTTTTTTTAAAGAAAATGATAGGACTGTTGCAGTAGTAAGGGTACATGGTTGGAGGAATTCCCTTAATTAAATCATAAAGATCAGTTCTATTTTTCACTCTGGTTATCATGGACCCCATGTATCTCCTATCTCTTATTATATTGCCTTTTTCCACTTAACATTTATGAATTTCAGATCAGATATGTCTTTTTCAGTCATGGTAAAATAAAACTGATTTTCTTGTAAATCCTATTTTGGCCACTGTAAGCGTAGATTGCCCCCTTTCTAATTCTTCAAAGTAACTCTCCACAAAAAGCCTGGTGTCCTCAGACCATTTAAGAGTGCTCACGGTGCTGCTGGGATTCGCAGCATCTTTGACTTTGATTTCCTCTAGAGAGAAGTCTCCTGTTTAAACCCCTGCTCTGTGACCAGGCACGTGTGTCACAATTGCTGTTACCATGCCAGCCTGCGTCACAGGAGGGTGCTTGGGTGTCAGCTTGCCTGCGGGTGCTTACCTGGTCCTCATCAACATTTGTGGAGAGCTCAGTGTCAGGTTAACATGCCACCAGGAGACATTTGTGAGGAAAGTATGGTCCCCGAGTCCAAACAGCTCAGAGCCCAGGTAAGAAAGACTGTAAACCAAGACGCTCATGGCAAGGTAAGCAGTCTGGAACTAGGAGTGAATGTTCAGAGTGTGGGAAGCCATGACTCTGTGGTTGGAGAAAAAGAATTTTAAAGTGGGAGGGTGATGCCTGATCCTCGGCCTGGACGAATTAGTGTACCTCTACCAGGAAGTGTCAGGTTGTACATCTGTAATCCTAGCACTCGAAGGCCAAGGCAGAGAGTCATGAGTTCAAGTCTGTCCATCCTGGGCTTTCCAGAGTTGGGGGGGGGGGAAGAGAGAAAGAGAGAGGGGGTGAATTATGGTAAAACAGGAACTGGCTAGATGGCTCAGTAGGTACAGGTACTTGCTCCCAAGCCTGAGGACTTGAGTTCAATCCTGGAGAAACCACAGAGGAAGGAGACACTGAACTCCCACCTCATGGACACTAGGGCATGCATGCATGTACGAGTGCATACACACACATACACACGCATGTACACATGCACACATAAACACAATGAGGAAAGAAATGTGATAAAAATTTGAAAGGAGGTGGTCTGAGCCTGGAGGATGAGAAGGGCTGGTAGGTGTCTTAGTTGCTTTTCCGTTGCTCTACTGAAACACCATGGCCAAGGCTGTTTGTAAGGGTTTATTTGGACATACAGTTCTAGAGGAATAAGGACCTCCTTCCGGCCATCACGGTGGAGAAGCAGGGCAGCAGGCATGGCAGCAGGAACAGGAAGCTGAGAGTGCTCATCTTGAGCTGTTAGCATGAAACGGAGAAAAAGAGAGAGCGAACTGGAAATGGTGGGCGTTTAAACTCTCTAGGCTGCCTGCAGTGACTAACGTCCTCCAACAAGGCCACACCTCCCCAAACATCCTCACCACCATCCCCCCAAGGATAAAGTGATCTAATATGTGAGCATACGTGGGGCGTTCTCATTTGAACTGCCACAGAGGGGAAGTGAAGGGACTGTGTCTGGCCTGTAGAGGAAGAAAACTGTTGAGAGACTGACGAATACTAAGAGAGAGCCCACGGGCCCTAATGATGTTCCGAAAAGGGGTGTAGCCTAGTTCACTTTCTCCTGCTCTGATAAGACACTGATCCAAACCAACTTAGGGATAAAGGGGTTGATTTCATCTTAAAATTTCCAGCCCGCAATCCATCGCTGTGGGAAGCCATGGCAGGAACTCAGGGCAAGAACTTGGGGGCAGGAATGGAAGCAGAGGCCCTGGAGGAAGGCTGGGTAAGCAGTGCTTCCCACACTTGTTCAGCTTGCTTTCTTATACAACCAAGGCCACCTGCCCAAGGGTGGCACCACCCACAATGATCTGGGCCCTCCCACATCCATCATGAATCAAGAAAGTGCCTTATAGACATGTCCACAGGACAATCTGATGCAGGCAATTCCTCACTTGTAATTCTCTATTCCTAGCTATGTTGAGTTTTGTGTCAAGTTGGCAAAAACAAGCCACAGGGGTCGAACTGAAACACGACTTCACTTTAAGAATTCCAATCCTAGTGGAAAAAAAAAAAACCTCTCATACTACTGAGAGGTATGAGCCTGTGGACTCAAAGATGAAGACGAAGATGCGGATTCAAAGACAAAAAGATTAAGCAGTCACTGTCAACTGCGTAGGGTAAAAATGTCCTCCTTTTCCCGAGCCCAGAACGTGACACGCCCACTGAACAGCAAATGTTAATAAAGCCAACACGGAGTAAGCAGCGAGGGTAGGGGTGGGGCATATCTCATGGGTTCTTCTCCAAGTGCTTCTTTGGCCTCAGTTTCCTCATCTGAAAGATGCCGGAGCTGACATGTGACTGGCTAAGATCACTCTAGTGTTAGTAATCCGGAATTCAGTTCCTTTGCTGACTGACCCCAAGCATGTCATTCTCCTAAAAGTAAACAAATAAACAGATAAACACGTTTTAAAAGCAACCCCTCCCCGCCAGGTCTCGCTCTTGCCTCAGCGTGAGCAGAGGAGACAGACGCACGCAGCACAAACTCTGAAGGACTCCAGCGCTGACAAGCTGTGTCTCCCTGGCGAAGAAGAGGATCCCATGGCCATAAATGGAAGTGGCGTTTGGAGTGCTGTTTTTGCCAGGTCTCCTGGACTTAAATGGAACTAAATGCTCTTGCAAAGATGGAGAGGAGAGTGAAGGAGAGGAGGGGGTTATCCGGGCATGGGAGTTGGCTGCTAGCCCTTGCACTGGAGGTCCAAGTTCAAATATGCTTGCAGGCAAGCCTCCGTTAAGTTTTCTGCCCTCATACAATGAAGTCGTTGTACGGCCAGAGGCTGGAGCAGGCAGCTGGATTCCCAACAGCCAGTACCTTTTGGACTCCGTTTTGATTCTCCCTCTGTTGGAGACATACCTCACAGGACACACAGACCTCTGGTACGGGCACACTGTAAGCTCTAGGAAGCAGGGGCGCTGGGGGAGGGGGGGTGTTGCTCCTGCGCGGCAGTGTCAGCTCTGTTAGCACACTGCTTCGGAAAGTGAAGATGCTCAGTAGACCAAGGAGCCGTCGGACACTTTATCCCTCTTTTAAACATCTGCCCTGCCCCCAACAACCATTTTAGGTGACTGAATTCCTGGACCGCTTGGGTCCTTTCGCTATGTTATTTTAATTTTGTAAGCTCCCCGCACAGGAATGATTTGACTAGATGCCCATCTGATTTGCAAAGTCCAAAGGGATTTCTGTGCCTACTGCTTACGGATTTAATCAGATGGTTCTTGAAATGGCCCTGACCCTTTCATTGGGGACAATTTCTAAAGCGATAAATATTCTCCCCCACTAAACTTCTGGGTATTTATATTCTCTCTCCCTTACTGTATCTCTCTGTCTCTGTCTTTTTCTCTTCTCTCTCTCTCTCTCTCTCTCTGTGTGTGTGTGTGTGTGTGAGAGAGAGAGAGAGATTTCTCTTAAATTCTCTCTAAAAAGAGTAACTCTTGCAGGGGAAGGTTGGTAGATGTATTTAGCTACAGTGATAATTAAATGAGCATTTATTTGGCTCTGACTCTGCCAGGTGTTATTAAAAGTACTTAATGAATTGAATTTGTATAACCCTCCATGTGACTCTATAAGTGTTATTATCTCTATCACCTTAAATATGGAGAAACAAGCATAGAAGGATTGAAGTAATGAAGTTGATAGATCATTGAACCAGGTTCCCAAATCTGCTACTTACAGCCAAATGCCGGACTGATTTCCAGTGAATGGGATGTTCCCTAATTTTCATGCCTCTTGAGTTCAGACTAGCCATGAATATACTTCTGAATACAGCTCTTAAGTGTTTGTTGACTTTGTTTTCTGATTTCCAGCTTAAGAAGGAATAATGGGAAAATAAACAGGGTAGGGAGTAAGGGATAATCATGTCATTGAGAACATACACAGGACCATATGTGTACTGAGGTAAAGACTTTTATTTATTCATCTAGAGACAGCGTGTGTGTGTGTGTGTGTGTGTGTGTGTGTGTGTGTGTGCATGTTCGTGCATGTTCGCATGCATATGTGTGCATGGGGGCCAGAAGTCAACCTCAGGTGCCATCTGACTTGTTTTCTCTTTTCTATTGAGACTGAGTCTCTCAGTGGACTGGAATTCACCTCGCCAAGTTGACTAGGTTGGATTCACCCCAAAGATTCACTTTTCTCTGCTTCTTCAGTACCAGGATCTCAAGCAAATGCACACAACTAACCTTTACTTTTTCCCTTTCTTTTTTTCCCCCAAGCACAGTTCTGGGCTAACACTTTACAGACTTAACTAACCTGGTAGCCTCTTTTTTTGTTGTTGTTGTTTCTTTGAGATAGGTTCTCACATAGCTCAGGCTGGCCTGGAACTTGCTATGTAGCTGAGACTTCCCTTGAACTCCTGATGTTCTTGTCGCAGGAGCTGGGATTACCAGCATTCACCATCATGCCAAGATCTGCCTCTTAGTTTTGTATTCACATCATTGCGGAGCTCCCAGAGGCTTTCTCGGCAGGTTAAACATAGCCCTTCCCCAAGGGATCAGTTTTTCCTACTTCAGGTCATGGGAAGGGGCAAGAAGGAGAAGACTTCCTTTTCGAGGGCCTGCCAGGAAGCCATGTTTGGAAAGGATCACATAAAAATTGATCAATAAGAACATTTGACAGCTTACCAGGTCTCTGTGACTGGCAGGGTGCACTCAGAAGTTTAGTGTATAGGAGGAGACCAGCTCTGTCCCTTACGAACATAGAACTGAGAGAACAGATAGCCAAGACCCCAAGATCACCCTCTCTGGCCACAGTCTGTGATATGATGTCATTTATCCCTTCTGCTCTCTTTTAAAAGTTGTTATAGATTTATTTGTTCTTATTGTATGTATATGAGTGTTTTGCCTGCACATATGTACGTGCACCGCATGCAGCGCCCGCAGAGGTCAGTTTAGGGTATCAGATCCCCTGGAACTAGAGTTACAGATGGTGATGAACTTCCAGGTGGATGATGGAAATTGAACCCAAATCCTCTGAAGAGTAGCAAGTGCTCTTAACCACTGAGCCATCTCTCCAGCCCACCTACCCCCTTGTGGAACAACTTGCATGCTATGGTCTCATTTGTGCAACAAAGATAAAAAATACATAAATAACAATAAAATGCATAATAATTATACCTACAGTGTACTTATCATATACTAGACATTATTCTAACTCATTGACCCTCCAAAGAACTCTGTGGTGCCAATGATAGCTCAGTGGATAAAAGTGCTTTCCCATGCCGGGCAGTGGTGGTGCATGCCTTTAATCCCAGCACTCAGGAGGCAGAGGCAGGTGGATCTCTGTAAATTCAAGGCCAGCCTGATCTACAGAGCAAGTTCCACAACAGGCTCCAAAGCTGCACAGAGAAACCCTGTCTTGAAAAACAAACAAACAAAATACTTGCCCCCTAGCCTGATGATCTGAATTTTAGTCCTGTGTTCCCCATTGTGGAAAGTGAGAATGGATTTTTCAAGTTTTCCACAGGTGGCATGTTCATTCACACACACACACACACACACACACACACACACACACACACACACAGAGAGAGAGAGAGAGAGAGAGAGTTTTCTTAAAATGTGATTTATAAAAAAGGAACTCTATGAAGTAGATATTACTATTATACCAATCTTATATAAATAAATGGATGTATAGAAACGTTTCCACTTCTGTAAATTTCTTAACTAGTAAATGGCAAGGTCAGAATTCAGTCTCTGGTGTCCCGGCTCTCAAGTGTCTACTATTAACCAACAGGCTAACCTATAAACGGTGTGTATGTATAAACAAAATTGAGATAGACATACAACAAACTTACAACTATTATTGACTAAGAGGTATGAAAATGGGTGGGATGTAGGAAAGGGACATTTTCTTTTTACAGTACATACTTTTTTTTCCTTTCTTTTGGCAGTGCTGGAGATAGCAACCAGGGCTTCATGAAGGAAATTATTCTGAAATTAGATCGCAACTTATTTACAACTTTGTACCTCCATTAGGGGAAGCAGACAGCTGTGGAGTCAGTGGTACCTTAGGCAAAGAAAGAAAACCCCTGGGATCCGTTTCTAGGTAGCAAGAATGAGAACTGGGTCAGGGTGATAAGTAGGAGGAAAAGCAGGATGTGAAGAGAGGGAGGAAGGACCGAGGAGCTGACAGGACAGCCACAAAGAGAAGGGCTTGACAGACACTGGAGGTAGATATTTAACACAGTCAACTTTAAGGACCCACACTTCAATATGAATTCTTGAGATCTGTGTATGGTATTCACAGAAATAAAATATTTGGCCCATTTATTAAGTTTATCAGGAATTATAATTCTCTAGATGGGGTGGGGAGGGTGGTCAGAGGGCCCTCTGGAGAATTCTAGTCTTACCGGGTTTGGCTCCACTCTGAGGTCAAGTGTCCTTCTGGAAGGCAGGTTGAGCTTGCTTCTGCTGACGAGTATGGATGAATATGACCTCCCACAGCCACAGAAGCCTGCCAGGGTCACACATCAGCTGTCGGGACACTTGTTTGTCCTCCTAAACAGGTTTCTTGACTTGGTCCATGGCAGCAGATCCCAGTAGCTCTTAGGCCTGGTCTGCTCTCAAGCTCAACCACCTTCACCCTTTAACCAGGCTGAGGGTTAAAGGGCCCTTGGTACACACAGTGCCAGGCAATGCTCAGCCTTCAATGGGGAGCCAAAGCAGTCTTCACCCTGCTTTCCAGAGCTTGGGCAGAGGCCACTGTCATGGGAAAGACTGAGTCTTCAGGGAAAGGTAGACCTGAAAAGGGTATCAGCTGGCCTATGATAACTGTCCTCACAATATCCAGACAACTGTGGGTTTTCTAGCACATAAACTAGACTGGGGGTTTTCTAGGTTCGGACGGACTTCATTTCAGGATACTGCATGTCCTCATTTGACAAGTGAAGAGCTGCCACCTTTGTCACCATTTCTTCCTCGAGTAACTGTCAGAATAGTGATAATAGCTATGTTTCCTGAGTGACTATGATGAGCCAAGACTCCTATAAAATATTCTTCACAACAAAATGCTGTATTATTTTAAAAAACGAAGAAACGGAGACTCGGAGATGCCGAGAGTCCCACTCTGTGTCAGAGGTGGAATTTGAATTCAGGTCTATTCAGCTCCAAATCTCATAATAGTTTACAGTGTGCTCCCTGGGTGGTCCATTCAAACAGGAATAGGGATGGCTTTTTAGTCAAGCAATCACTAACAGGTGAGCAAACTGTAGTACAAACAGTTGTATCTTCAGGGCATAATGTCCGTCCTTCTGCATCTTACCCGCTACCAATGCCACTTGTACATGTGTCTTAGAAGTGACACTCACTCAGCTACTAAGTGCCATGAGATCCTAGAGACGACTCAGAGCCTCAACATTCCTTACTTATATCTAGACTATAACTCATGCTAGTTTTTTTCCGGAGGTCTGTGAGGAATGCCAGGCTGGTATTCTTCTTCTCTCTTTCCCATGCCAAGCCAGATGGCCCTCTGAGCTCCTCCCTGCCTGGGCACTGCTGTCCATCAAGTTGATTGGCACCTGAGACTTGCTTCTCTGCTGATGGTATCTGCTCCTAGTAAAACTGATCCGTGCATTTGTAAGGGCTAGACTTGATTTCTCCTGGCCTTGAGTACAGGGTCTTAATTATTTAAGCCACTTAAACTCAAGTCTAATCTTTATATAAGCTACCGAGTCCCCAGGAGGTACAAGTTAGGACGGTTCTGAGAAAGGGTGGTATTCGTACCTGGTTGAGCCTTTGTATAGGTGGAAATGCATTACTTGTGGATGTATGTCACAGACGGTCCTGTTTATAATACACATCCCAACATACAAAGAATATATTTGAGATTTTTACTTCTGACTAAGATGGAATAAGAGAGGCCAAGTTTACCTTCCAAATAATAAACTGGACAAAATATGTAAAACGACAATATTCTTATGCTAGTCTATTTTTATTTTTTAATTTTTTTAATTATTGATCTTTATGGAGCTATACATTTTTCTCTGTTCCTTCCCCCTTCTCTTCAACCCTCTCCCATGGTCCCCATGCTCCCAATTTACTCAGGAGATCTTATCTTTTTCTGTTTCCCATGTAGATTAATTCCAGGTATGTCTCTCTTAGGGTCCTCATTGTTGTCTAGGTTCTCTGGGACTGATACTAATCTTATCAGGCTGTACTGGAAGGTGCTTCCTAAGGAAGAGAAATCAGATAAGTGAGCCCAACAGTTAGCCAACTTACTCTTGTACTTCTCATTGTAGTACAGGGAGGAGAAAGCCAGGTAGGGTGGTTGAGGACACAGACCTGGGAGCTGAGGGAGACTGAGGGCAAAACAAAGCTCTGAAAATGACAGTAGTGTCCCAAGGGAAAGCTCTGGGGATCAGAAAGTCTCTCTGAAGTCTTTAGCTCAGTGCCTGTCAGCTCACATGAGTGAGGAAAGCAGCTGAAGTTGAGTGAGGAAAGCTGAACCCAGAAAGGACAGAGCCAAGAACTTTGCAGTTAGTGGGGTTTGGGTGAGAGTGAAGGATATTATAACTTTAAGTCATGGGACAGAATTATTCCTAGACAAAAGATAGTTGTGATCTCCCCTAATACTGCAAGCCTGGGAAGGAGGGACTTATTACCATGTCACTTGGCTGTGCTCCAGAACAATGCTCAAATGTATTTACGACACTACAAAACTGTCTAACATTAACAAGGCAAAGTCCTCCAGACCTGACATCCAATCCAAAACTTAGCTGTCATGGAGGGAGACATGAGCATGACTCCCAGTGGCGATCAAAGCAGAGACCAACCAGATGGAACACTTCCGATAGAGTTAGTAAAGAAGGCTTGTGTGGTTTTGTTTTTGATTTAGACAAGGTCTCCTATAATCTAGACTAACTTGAAGTCACAACCCTGCCGTGTCCCCTCAAGTGTTGGAAAATATTGCAGGTGTGTGCCCCATTCCTGGTGACAGTTTTCCAAATGGTGGTTCTAACGTACCCTACCTGCTAAGGAAAGCAAAGATCGAGCAGTAAAGAACAGACAGGGAAGGCAGTCAGAAACCAAGCTGAGTGTGTTGAGATACACATGGAATCTTAGAGTTTGGGACGCTGAGGCAGAAGGATTGCCTCAAAGTGGATGCAGCCTGGGCTACATAGTTTCTCTTCCTGTTGCTGTGATCAAACTCTCTTAACAAAAATAACTTAAGGAAGAAAGGGTTTATTCTGGCCCAGAGGGTGCAGTTCATCTTGGCAGCGAAGCCCAGGCTTCTTGGCTGATCCAAGAGATCTACAATCAGAGAGCAATGAGCGCATGCGCTGCTGTTCAGCGCCCTTTCTCTGCTGACACGGTCCAGGATTCAAGCCAAGGAATGGTGCCGCCCATAGGGGCGTGTTTTCCCAACCCAATTAACATAATCGGGGGTTACCTTCCTAACCTACTTCAGTTAACTTAATCAAGATAAACCCCCACAGTCATGCCCAGAGCAGGAAAGACCTCGCGAAACCCGGAGATCATGTGTACATTCTCTGGGGGATAGTTTAAGTAGCCCGTGGGAGTGGTCTTGACCTTCCCTGGGGAGGAGTTTTATTCCAGGAGCTGGGGTGAAGCCCCCAGGCAAACAATCCAGATTCTTTGTATAAAGGGTGTTAGGGAGCTGGGGTGATACCTTCGACCAAACAGTCTAAGGCATGGAGACCAACTGGTGAGGGCCTCCCTGCTTACAAGATCCCTGGATAGGAAGAGGAAGAGAAAAGAGCTTGGGAGTGAGAGAAGGAAGAATGTGGAACCCTTTTATTAGGAACCCACCTATAATCCTGGCCCTAATCCACGCATGAGGTTGCCCTCACGACCAGCCCTTACATTCTCATTTCTCAACACCACTGTACATGAACCATAGGGAACACATCCAAAGCATAGCAAAATCCAACAACAAAGTCATTCAAAAGTGACTTTTCCAGGGGCTGGGGAGATATCTCGGTTGATAAAGAGCCTGCTTGTGTAAGCATGAGGACCTGAGTTTGGATCCCCAGAATTTGTGTGCAAAAGCAGGCGTGGTAGCCTGCCTCTGTAATCCCAGCACTAGGGAGGCAGAGAAAAGAGGGTTCCTGGGCCTTCCTGATCAGCTGGTCTAGCTAAATTGGTAAACTTCAAGTTCAAGTAAGAAACCCTGTCTGGAAAAATAAGAATAGAGAGTCAGCAAGAAAGCTCCCTGGGTAAAGGCACTTGCTGTACAAACCTGGCAACCTGAGTTAGATTCCTAGGACTCATGTAGAAAGGTAGGAAAGAACCTCTGGTCACCACATGCATGCGGATGCATGAATACAAACACACGTCATGTACACACATATAAAAATAATAAAAAATAAGGTGAAAAGTGATTGAGCAAGACATCCACCAGTTACTTCTGACACATTAACACACACATATAGACACACATATTATTAAAAACATTTCCCAATTGCATGCTAATAGAAGGAATTGATTGATAACTACACATGAAGCCGTGTTAAATCAGTGTTAGAAATTGGCTTGTTGGTTGAGCACGTGTGTAATATATACAAGCCTGAGTTTGAGCATCACAAAAGGAGAAAAAATCTAAGAAATCTTAAAGGAATATCTACACGTAGTAGAGAATAATGGAAAATCTACATATATAAAAGAGAATAATGACCACTGGCATTGTCAATATATAGTAAATATGAACATTATTTATTGTTGAAAAATTCAAACTACCTCATAGTGAGAAGCAAAAGTATTAATAATGTATGATTATTACATTATTTATGTTTATAACACAAGCAAGTAAAATTATGGCAATTAGGCAAAGACCAGAAATTACAAAGACCAAAATGTATATAGACTATTTTAAGAAGGCTATTACACTAGATGTGAAATGGTATAATGTTGAGGGTAGCCTGTATACTATAAATGTTTTACTATAAAACTGCAGGACAAAGAATTATTGCTAATCATCTAATGAGTGGAATCAAGTAAAAACTACTAAATAAAGTCATTAATGATAATTATAAGGCCAAGGCCAAGATGTCTCTCTCCTTTTCAGCATTGTACTGGAAATCTTAGTATAGGAAGATAAGAAAAGGAAATAAAAATAAAGATTGGAAAAGAACTAAAGTTGTGTTGCAGATTATGTGACTGTTGATATGGAATAATCTTCTCAAATCAAACCAAACCAAACTCTGGAATTAATAAATGATTGTAGCAAAGATGCAGGATACAAGGTCTATATCATAAAAGTAAATCACTCCTGTATGCTAATGTCAAGTAATTGGATTTTGGAAATAGAAACACATTATCATTTATATTAGCATGCTCAGTGATGAGTACTTATATATTAACAGCATATGATTAATATCTGTGTGCTGCAGGGGCTTGTGGTGCAGGCCATTGATCCTAGCAGTTGAGAGGCAGGCCTCGGAGTGTGAGGTCACCCTTGTCTACACGGAGAGTTCAAAGTTCCAGGGCAGGTAGGGATAGATAAGGTCCTGACTCAAAAAAACAAACAAACAACAATAAAAAAAATCTATATGAGAACTATAAAACACAGATGAAAAGAATAAAAGAAAAAAGGTTGGGGTGAGTTGAGGCTCAGCTGTGAACACTTCCCTAAGAAGTGAAAGTCCTGGGTTCCTTCCTGAGAATTGAGAAGGGGAAATGGGGGGGGGTGGGGACAACATGGGGGGACAATAAGCTAAAACAAAAAACAAAACCAATCAAAAATTAAAGAACTGGAAACATATTCTATGTTCCTGAAAAGAAAGGACTCAATACTATCAAGACCTCCATTCTTCATAGTTTGATCTATAGATTAAATCCAATTTCAAATGAAAACCTACCAATTATTTTGTAGATGATAACAAACAAAGAGATGAATGTCACCTAGTTATAGAGGCCAACACAATAGGAAAAGAATGAAGTCACAGGACTGGCACATTCAGCTTCAAGACTTACTACAATGCTGCTGTAATCAAGAATGTAGGGCAGCTGCAATAATACAAATAACACACACCTTTAATTCCAGCCACAGGAGGCAGAGGCAGATGGATACAGATTTGTGAGTTCAAGGCTAACCTGTTCTACGTAGTGAGTTCCAAACCAGAACTACAAAATGAGAACCCAACTCTCTCTCTTGTCTCTCTGCCTCTCTGCCTCTCTGTCTCTTTGCCTCTCTCTCTCTCTCTCTCTCTCTCTCTCACACACACACACACACACACACGAAAAAGAATGTAAAATGTTGGTAATGCCACATTTACATAATTAAACAGAGCCCTAGAATTAACACACATAAATATAGATCATGGTTTTTTGACAAAGGAACAAAAGCAATACAGTGAAGATTGTCTTTTCAGGGCCGGGGAGGATGTGATTCAGATGGTAGGGCTGGCTAAGGATGCATACAATCCAGAGTTCAGTCCCCAGCACCACAGAAAGCAGGGCGACACACCAGCATCCCAGCGCTTGGGAAGTGGAGGAGGAGGTTCAGAAACTCAAGGTTATCCTTAGCTACATAGCAAGTTTAAGACAGCCTGTGCTGCATTGAGACTCTAAATTTTAAAGTGTATTTCAATAAATGGTAATAAGAAATTGTACATTCCTATACCAGACCCCCCAAAAAAAACAAATATAGAAATTGCTTTCTTACTAAAAGTCAGATCAAGGTAATTACAAGTTGAAATGTAAAACGCAAGACTATAAGACTCCTGGTTGATAGATAACATGAGCAAATCTAGATGACCTATGGATTTGACAGTGATGGTTTCATTACCTACAGCTTCAAAGACACGATTCATGAAGAGATCACTGATAAACAAGGCTTAACTAAGGTGAAAACTTTCTGCTCTATAAATTGCAATGGAAATAAAAAACTTAGACGGGGTGGGGGAGGGACGCCTTTGCAAAGATGTGTATCTACTCTCTGTTCCATTGCTGGGAAGAGACACTGTGACCAAGGCAACTCTTATAAGAGAAAGCATCGAATTGCTTACAGTTTCAGAGGTTTAGTTCGTTATCATCATGGCAGGAAATATGGCAGCAGACAGACAGACATCGTGCTGGAGAAGTAGTTGCAAGTTAAATCCTGATCTGCAGAGGGAGGGGGGAGAGAGAGAGAGAGAGAGATTGATCGATCCTGGGTTTGGCACGCGGGTTTTGAAACCTTGAAGCTTCTACACACACCCCCGTAACAGTGACTCACTTCCTCCAACAAGGCCATACCTCCTAATCCTGTCAAATAGTGCCACTCTCTGATCACTAAGCATTCCGGTATACGAGCCTATTGGGGCAATTCTTATTCAAACCAGCACAACATACCTGATGAAGTACTACTATTTAGAACATACAAAGAGCTCTTAAAATTAAATAATAGGAGAACTAACAACCCTATAGCAAGTGGACCAGAGCTCTACAAAAGAGATACAAAAGATATCAAATCAGCAGGTAAGAAACGATGCACCTCCTATGCCATCAGAGGGTCGCAGACTAACACAGGACAACATCACGCAGCTGTTGGAATGATCAGGACCAAAAGCCTGCGAGGATACGGAGGGAAAACTGACCAAAAAATACGTGTGTCCTCACCAAGCCCCACTCTCCTTATGGCCTCCAGAGAAATCCACTCACGCAAATTAATTGAATGCATCTCAGGATTATAAACCGATCTTTGGAGTTTATTCAAATGTGTCCGAAAACTTGAGTCCACAAATGTAGCTGTAATGGAGCTAAAGCTTAAAAGCAACCAGAATGTCCCCATGTGGACCAGCTGCCAGCGGGACTGAAAAGGAATCAGCTACAAAGCAATGGAAATACACGGGGAAGGCGTAAGTGCACAGGACTCGGTGAGAGCCAGTCTGGAAGGCCACAGACTGACTTCAGCTACGTGGCACTCTAGAGATGCCAAGATGGCAGAAATAGTAAAGTGATCAATGGTTTCTGTGAATTGAGGGTGGATAGGGGCTTAATATGTGGGACATGGAGATGTTTTTAGGGCTGTGAAATTATCCTGTGTGCTAACATAATGGAGGATGTATGCAATTATGCCTCTGTCAAAACCCTTCGGTAAAACACCCAGAAGGCAGCTTAATGCAATGCTTATGAACCTTGGGGAACGGTGCTGTCCCCAGCAACATTGCATGGTTGAGAAGCTGGTGACGGGAACTGGATGTGGAAGGGTCCGGAGGTCACTGTGCACCCTCTGTACAATCCATTCAGTTTTCCTGTGAGGTTGAAATTGCCTTAAGGAATGAAGAATTTAGAAGAAACTAACAGCGATCAAGATGCTGTGGTACTGGTGTGAGGACGGACAAATAGTCTGGCGAAACTGCACACAGAACACACACAGAAACGACTCCACACTCGCAGCTCACCGATTTTTACGAACAGTGCCCAAGCACCTGAGTGGGCAGAGGGCAATCTTTCCAACCAACAGCACAGCATGCAGTAAGGCGAAGCTCAACCCTGACCTCGCAGCAGCTACAAAAACTAACTTGAAGTGGATGTAGGTATGAGCGTATGGTTAAGACCATGGAAGTTCTAGGAGAAAACACAGGGGAAAGCTTTGCGGTTTTGGCTTTGGCAAAGATGTCTTAAATATTAAGTAAGCAGCAATTGTAGAAGAGAAAGGAAATGCCCACAGTGAAGTCTGCTTTTTTTCCCCAAAGGCACACTATAAAGAAAAGAGTTAGCCACAGGCCGAGGAAAAATATTTGCCAATCTCGTATTTATCTGACAGGGATACATATCTAAAATATGGAAAAAGCAACTCCACTAAAAACTGGAATAATCCTGGGTTTATGTTGTGCAAGGTATTTTTCGATACCTATTTTCATTCTTCTTTGCCCAATCAAGTGGTTATTAAACACAAAATGCAAAAGGAATTTCCCCTCGCCACGTGGGCACAAATTGAAAAGGAGGGGGGTAAGTGTACATGATTTGTTTGTAAAATATTCTTTTATAGAATATTGTTAATTTGTGGTTTTCTTTTTTTAAAAAAATGAGAGTGGGTTGTTAGTTTTCATTTTCCTTTTTTAAACAATTTTTTGAGAATTTTATATGCACATACAACGTATTTTTAGACCATTCATCCCTCACTCCTTTCCCCAATTCCTTCAAGAAACCTTTACCCTTGCACACTGTGCACAGTTGCTAAAGGTGGCCAAGGTCTTCAGATTTTAGATGCCTACTCTTGGCTGCTGTTTCTCCTGAAACAACTTAGTGGTTTCCTAGAGAATTTACTTTGTGAGAAACCTAGGCTCATGGGATAGCCTCATTCCGCCACGACCTAGTGCTCCTGCAACTTGGTAATTACGATTACGTGCCTAGTGGTCCCTCCAATTACACATCTCTCTGGGTCACAAGCAGTGGTGTAATTTGCACATTAAGTCTGAATTAGCTCGGGCATGGTGGCACATGCCTGTAGTCCTAGAATTTGGCGAGCCAAGGCAGAAGGACTGGGCTATAAGGCGGAGCCTCATCTAGATTCTTTCTCTGCCAAAAGTCCATTTCACGTCCAATTTTCATACACAGTCTGGAACCTAAGGGGATGAAACTGGGCAGAAGTTAGAGCCATGGCTCCAGTTTGGCTTTTTTTAAAATTCTAAACAGCGCCTGAAGATGTCAAAGTTAAGAATGGTCATTGTTTCCCAAAACCTTTATAGAAATCCTAGAAAACACCAGCAGGATAGATGGAAGCTCAGGCCAGATTTTTGTGGCACACCCAAAGGACACAAGATTGAAAATGACAGCTGAAACTCCGAGGCTTGGCAGGACGGCCTCACTCACAGTTCAAAGCTGATTTCCCTCTCAATAGCTTATACTTAGATCATGCTCTGGTGAGTAGTCGCCAGAGCTTGTGAATTTGGACCGTGCTGGGGGAGGGAGATCATGGTGTATTGATACCACTGGGTTTGGGGAAACACATCACAGTACCATGTTTGAGTTTTCTTTATTTAGGAACCGAAAGGGTGGTTCCAGAGTAAACATTTAGACCTTGGCTCAGACTCAGCTTAGGGCAGCCTTTGTGATCTTGGGAAGCAGTCTAACCTCTGTAAAGTTCAGACTTTGTGTTCAGAACAGCACTTCCCAAACAGTAGTGATTCTGCACCCCACCCTGAAACATTTGGCAATATCTGAGGACATTCTGATGGGGAACAGGGACTGCTGTTGGTATTTTTGGGTAGAAGCCACAGGCCATGGTAACATCCAGCAACCCAGTAATGCACCGTAGACATCTTACCCTCACAAAACAAGAATTACTTAGTCCAAACTGGCAGTGGAGTGGAAACCAAATAATCTTAAAAGACTTAGGTGCTTTAAGAGTCTGACACAAGATGGGTTGGTGCCAAACCAACTGTAACTGTCAGCAGCAAATGATCAGTTTAGTGCGGTTTGATGAAACAAACAACTTCTGAAAAAGTCAGGGCTGCCTCCACTTCTGGATAGCGTTCAAAAAATTCTCTTCTCGGGGGTACCCAGCCCATTTCATTCCACTATAGCACAGTCCCAGCCAAGAGGTTTAAAGTGGGGGCTCTGAGGCCTGACTCTACCGTTGAGTACACATGTCGTGGGAAAACCATTCGGCTCAGCCCACTTGTCTATAAAATAGCAATCATGATAACCCACCACATCGGGCGTACATTAAGGCTTGCACAGGACCAGTCTTCACAGCATCGCAAGCGTTCAACTGATGCTTGCTCTTCTTGCAGGGAAGTTGTTAGGGAGAATGTTCTGAGGGATTTTCTTTAACCTTTATTTGCAGTGGAGCGTGTGTGGGCCTGCGTGTGCAGCACACCTGTGTGGAGGTCAGAGGTCAGTCTGCAGGAGTCAGGAGTCCGTTCTCTCCTTCCACCATGTGGATTCTGGGGACAAAACTCCAGTTGTCAGGTTTAACTATGAGTGCAGTTGCCTGCTGAGCCCACTTGTCAGCACAGAAGAGCAGTTATTTTAATAAGGAACTCGTTTGTATTTAATGCCGCGTATGAAGGGTACACAATCCAAGCAAACAGGGAACCCACAGAGCCGTAGAAAGCATCAGAGGACCTGGTGGCCAGGAGCTGGGGGATCATAAACGTCACCTCCATGACTTTCCTCACACCTCTTTGAAAGTGGCTCTTTATGAGCCACTTTTTGGGTCTCGTTTGGCAGTTATGGAAATGGGCTCACAACAGTCAGTCACTCCCTTAAGATCACACAGCTGCAGCAGGGCAGAGCTGGGCTTCTGGATCCCCAGTGTGACTCCAGGTTGTCGTGGGCTGACGGGCAGCAGTGCTCAATGCAGGGCAAATTCCCAGAACATAAAACATGAACAAGTTAGGAGGTGTCTACGTTGAGGGAAAAGAAGACTGTGAAAAGTCCAGCGTCTGCGTCTTTGCTGGGGCAGGCAGCCTGGGTATGCGGTGCTGAGAGCAGGAGGCTGCTGGCAGGAGTCCTCTCTGCTTTACTCCAGTGGCAGCTGCTGGTTCAGGGCAAACCACCCTGCAGTGCCAGGCAGCACACATGGAGCACGGTCTTAGTGGTGGCAGGCCTGCTGGCTGGAGACAAGAATATTGGTTCCTAAGTTTCTCGGGGTTATTTCCAACCTCAAGGAAAGATCTTCTCGAAGGTTCTGGTGACACTTCCTAGCGAGTGTTTTGTGTGCTGAGACAGGGCCACAAACACCTGGATGACCTAGACTGGAGAACTAGAGAGCTACGGTGGCCTTCCTCCAAACAGCTCTCTTTAGTGGAGTGGGAAATGGAGCCAGGAATAGCCTGGAGTCCCGAGGGTCCAGCCGTGAAGAGGCTGCGCTGGGAGCCCTTGGAATTGTGCAGTAGGTGATGATATCTGCGTCTCTGGTGTACTGCAGGCCCCCTTTGCCTCTCCTGGTGTCGGACAAATGCTTGAGTTACCTTTTTCCCTGTTTCAATGAGATCCCAGACAGAAGAACTTAGAGGAAATAACAGTTCTGGCTCGTGGCCTCAGAAGGGTTTCGGGCCACTGTGGCAGGGAGGCTGAGGCAGCAGTGATGCTCTTTCTCCAGACGCAGAGGCGGTGTAGAACCTGGGACAGGTATGACCTTCAAAAGTCCAGACACACTGATACATCTACTGAAGTTGAACAGTCTTCCCCCGTTCCCCAAGCCTTGAAATGAACATAGCTGGGAAAACGGAGATTAAAATGTGAGCTCGTGGTGGGTAGTTCACATTCAAACCATAGCCGGAGGAGTCACACACTGTCCACATTAGGACAGCGTCTGGGTCCATCTCCCAGCTGCTTGCTCATCCTCCCACCGGATGGGTCACAAAGTAACAGAGCTGGAAACCAATCGTCTCTGGATGCATGGGCCCCACACATCCAGCAGAGAAGCCGGGGAGCAGCAGAACGGGCTACGGGGCCTCTGTGTCAATGTGACCCATACGCTCTCTGAAAGGCTCTGCTCTACCCTGGTGGAAAAAAATGCATTGAAAGTTCACTAACCTGGTGTTAAATATAGGAGAGGAAACAGATGCTGGCCGGGCGGAAGTATCTGAGGAGAGCAGAGGCTCAGGCAGTGGCTTGCCCAGGCTGATAAGGAGGTGGGGGCTGGAAGTCCAACCCTTCTGATTGGCTGTGGGAGCCTTTCCGACATTACCGTGGGCCATATCGCCCTCAGAACTTGGCTTCTCTGCAAACTCCTCCTTATGATCGACACGAGAGGGTTATTTTTAAACTGATCTTTGTGACTTCCTTTTGGCGTGTGTCCTCTGCTTCCTTGGTCGACCAATTCTGGCCCAGCCTGCCAGTCTGTAGGAGGTGAGGACTGTCTCTGTATGGGCAACGGCAAAGGCTGAGGAGGGTGCCGACCCTGGCAGGCTGAATACAAATCCACTGGGCTCGCGACAGGCCAGTGTGGAAGAGTCCCAGCTTTTCAGGCCTAGATCTTTAGTCCCAGAGTGGAGAGGTAGTCAGAGCACTCACTGAGGAATCCTGAGACACAGTTTGCAGTGCCCAGATAAATAGAAGAACGCCTCAGTATTAACTGAGCTCTCCTTTCTGGGGCCAGGCTGGGCTACCCTCTGTGGGCTGTGAGGGCACCTGTCCCTCTAGTGCCACTGAGTTCCAGGGGAGTGTGTCTGGTCAGGTGCACCACCAGCACCCTCAAACTGTGTGGTTGAATCAGAGCAATGGTCCCGTGACTCCCACCGCCATTCACGAAGCGCAAAGGCGAGGAGCTGAGATCACCTTGGCTCCTGCGGGGCTGCCCCAGGGTCAACCACTACCCAGGAGACCTCAGAGTTGTTGACAGCTTGCTCAAGTCCTCAGGGCATAGTGGAGACCCTGAAGTGTGGTAGGCACCCAACGGCTGCCAGCAATTCTGCCTCTCCGTGGCCTCTGGTACAAGGAATGGCTACCTCCCGGCAGGGCCCTTCTCCTTAGCGTTCTCTTGGGACCAATATGGTCCCCAGCTCCTACTAGAGATCATGGAGCCCCGCCCTCTTCTGATTTCAAAGATCTCTCTCTGGCTCATTATACATGCAAGCTGTGACCTGGCAGGGAATAGTTTAGAAATTAGTACTTTCTTGCCAAGGCCCAAGGGAACGCAGCTCAGTTCCAGCAGGTGGCAGTCCCGGTTTGAGTAGCCCCTGTGAACTAAGGCAGAGCAAGATGATCTGTGTCCCTCCAGAGCAACCCTCTGGGTGATACTTGGAAAACTCCTTCCAGGAGAGAGTCTGTATTGAGAAATAGTTTGCCCCCTGTAGCCGCAGAACTGGCTCTGTGTTGTCTTTCTGTTGAGTCCAGGCTTCTGACGCTCAACCTCAGGTACTGTAGAACTGAAGAAACTCCAGCTCTCAAAGCTGTTGTTGGAGCAAACGATCTGCTGTGGGTAGACAGGCCCAGTGGTCAGAGATGTGAGAGCCTCAGCTTCGCTGCCTCTAGCAGCTGCTAGCCAAGCCACCATGGGCAAGCTCCTTAACTTGGTGCGATGTCAGTTTGCTCAACTGTGAAAACCGATGTCATGAAGGGAACGATAGGCTCCGTGGACCCAGCATCAGGAAAAAGCTAGCAACAGAGATTTAAAGCAAGGTAAGCATGCTCCGTGTCAGGCTCAGAGAGCCGGGAGTTAGCACAGTCCTGAAAAGGGCTGTCCTCAGTCTCGGCTTTAGGGGAGGCCAGACTGACTGGCAGCAACATTAGGGAAGGAGATACAGTACTGTGTGTGTGTTCACAGTGTATCCCTCCTACCTGTGCCCTCGCAGACTCGCACAGTGCAGACTGCTTGTCTCTCCTTGCACCTGCGCCCTCTGGCTCCTCTGTAAAATGAGAGCTGTTTCAGGTTTGCTGCCTCTCACACCGAAATGGCACTTAGGAGAGGGGCTGCACAGCTCCCTTGATCTGGTCAGGACACGGCAAGGAGGTCCTCTGCTGTAAGTGAAAGGAGAGGAGGGTTGTGAGGCAAACCTTAAAAATAACGTTTATTAATTTTTTGAGAATTATACACACACACATATACATACATACAGACATACATACATACACATACTCACACACATATACACACTCACACATATACACACATTTACACACACATACATACTCACACACATAAACACACTCACACACATATACACACATTTACACACACACATACACATACACACTCACATACATATATACACACACTCACACACATACACACACATATATGCACACATTCACACACACATATATACACACATTCACACACACATACACATACACGCACTCACACAATGTGATTCAATCGCATTCACTCCTATTTCTTCCCTTAACTCCTAAGTCTACTCCCACCCCCACCCCTCCTAACTTAATGTCCTTTAGAAATTATTTTTATAACCCATTGAGTCTAGTTTGTGCTATCCATATATTCACGGGTATGGGTCTGTCCACTGGAGTGTGGTGACCTTCCAGGGGTCATGGCCTTAGAGAAAACTGACTTTCCTTCTCCCAGAAGGATCTTCAGGTTTCTGGAGCGGTCCCCGCCTTGGCGGACCTTGGGCAGCTCCTTGAAGCCCTGCCCAACCAGCAGCTGACCTTGCCTCCCTGCAGGGCTCCCTGCCTGGCTGCAGATGTTTCCAGTTTGCAGATTGCATTAGGTTCACATCGGTCATTTGTTCCATTTGCCCAGAAACAACAGCCAGCATTATTGTCAGGAAATGAGAGAGTGCCAACTTCAGGATGACACAAAAAGCCCCAGTCATGGGCACTAGATAGGGGTAGGGGGGGAGGGTTGGCAAAGACCAGAGACTGGACCATCTGCAGTGACCTAGACTTCTACTGCCCCTGGGGGAAGTCAGGGCCACTGAAACAGCATCTATCCAGCTTCCATCTGGGAGGGCCCGGGTGGGTGGGTTGAGTCAATCTTGGAGGGACCAGGTCAGAAGGAGTCATTCTCCTGGAGGCCTGGGAGTGACTGGAGAGTCTGGCTCTGAAGAGAAAGCATTCTGTTTCCTTTCCCCTGAACAACCAGGAACTATCCCAGGGTTAATGGAAGATTAGAGGGTGTTTGGTATTCAGGATCAAGTGTAAACACAAACAAATGTACTGCACACCAAATCATGAGCTGCGGGTGCTTCGTGTTTGTCAAGTGGCTATTTTGGCAGGAGGTGACCATAATATTCGGCAACCTTCACACCCTACCCTGGAGGTGGCCTTTTTATAGCGGCGAAGAGCGCCAAGCACTCTGCCAGGCCCTCCAGAATGAGTGACGAGTGAGACACAGAGACTGTGATTATGGTTCTGAATAGGGCTGGCTCTTGAGATAGCCCTGGGAAGGCTTCACCTGCAGCAACTGAGGGGCCCCTGCAGCTGCAAGGAGCTTCATCCTGCCTGTCTCGAAATTGCCGGCAGCCAGACCCCAAGGCTGTCCTCCTAGGCTCACAAAGGAGGGTGGGGCTATGGTTGAACTCTGGAGTAAGCTTCTTCATGCTGACAAGCTACTCACTTCCTGGCAAGTGGAAAAGATAGGAGAAGACGTCACTGCCTTCCTGTCATCGCCTTTGGGTGAGTCCAGTTTCTGAAACCAGGAGAAGCAACGGAGGATTTGGAGCAAAGAGCTTCTCCCGCAAAAGCCAAGAGATGGGGGCTAAGGAAAGTCAAATGTAGACAGGGTGACTCTAGGTGCCCAGAAAGCCTACAGCACACAGAGAGGCAGGCAGCTTGTAGAGAGTTTCTGTTGGTTCCACTTTTACCAAGCACCTCATGAAGAGTTACTGGCTGGGTGCCAGTGAGGCCCACACGGAAGACATGGAGGCAGGATTCTGGTAACCACCCAAGTGGTCAGGCCCCTGTTGTAGCTGTTTGGCCCCTTTTACTTCAGTCTCCAGAGAATAATCTTCCCCTCCTTCACCAAAGAGGAAATTAAGATTTGGGAGATTAGGCAGTGTGGACAAGGTTATTCGTGCAGAAAACGAACTCACAAAACAAGACAGCAAGGCGTGGGCCTGTTCAGCCTCTGAGTTACCTGCTGACAGCCCAGAGTGATTTCTTCCCTGGGGCTGGGCCTCGGGGTATAAAGACGGTAGGACAAATCTGCCACCCAGAGGCAGAAGTGCAGCACGCACGCAGTATGAGCCAGGGATGGCTGCAGGCATCTCGCTGAGGCAGAGAACTCTTGGCACAGCTTTGAGGGTTGAAGTCCTGGAAGGTGCTGCCCATCTGAGGCGACGTGACTGGCTGGCACAGAAGCCTGGATGGACAGGCCCGGCAGACTGGCCATGACATACACACAGTGAATTAGGAGAAAGCGCCAACTGCATGCTCGACTGGGAGACCCCAGGGTTTTCAGCTGGGGGTTCAGAGAGGTGAGCACCAGAATGGGAAAGCAGCTAAACTTGCTAGCGAGTCACGAAACCAGACTGCGTCCCGATTTTGACCTTGAACGAGCCACGGTTTTGACCTTGAACCAGCCTCTCTAGGCGTCAGTTTCCTCTCGCACTCAAGTCACCGTGACTGTGGAATGGGGACAGGAAAAGCGACAAGTACAGCATCAGGCCAGGTTAAACCACAAACCGCCAGAAGCAGCTCTGGGCCCCCACAGAAGGAACATGAAGAAGACAAGAGAACAGCATCAAGACAGCTCTGATGGTGGAGCGTGGAGCCTAGAAAACAGGGTGCCCGTGGCATCGCGTTAGACCAGTCGCAGAGACGAGAGAACCAACTCTGTTAGGGTAATCAAACACGTAGAAGCCACCAACAGTTTTGTTAGACACTCTCTCCAAGGGCCTCTTAAGTAAGTCACATGATATTTTTCTACCTGCATTGGTTTAGGACTGAAGTAAAAAGATGCAACGAACAAACATTGCCTGCTTTGCTCCTCCCAGTTTCTGTTGAACACGTGACTTTGTGTGCATGCTTACGGGTGGGAGAGGACAGACGTGAGGCTCGTAGTCTACACGTCAGCTTGACCGTGAGGCAGCTCTCCCACGTGCCAGGTGCTCTTCTGGGCTCTCGGTGCTTTTAGGATAATGGGAGAAGGGAGTTGGTGTGGTCCATAGTTGAACAAGAAGTTGACCAGCTAGTAGGAGAAGCGGTATAAACAAGCCACTCCGAAGTAGCCGAAAGTGCTCAAGAGAGGACCACATAAGCTGCAGAGGGATCCTGTTCAGAGGGAGGAGCCACTGACTGCCCCGCAGTGACACTGCCCCTTCCCGGGAGTGGTTTGCACTGGCAATGATGAGTTCTTGCGTGAGGACCATCATATTGTGCTGCAGGTGGCCCCACCCTGGGCCCTGCTGGGCATCAGTACCCTGTATCACTGTATCAAATCCTCACCTAAACACTCACTTAAAATGACAGAGCTATGGAGCTGTTTGTTTTTATTTCTTGTTTCTTGTTTTTGTTTCTTGTTTCCTGAGATGAGGTCTCACTTTGTAACCTTGGCTGGCCTGAACTTGCTACACAGTCCAAGCTGGCATTGCTCTTACCGAGATCGACCTGCCTCTGCCTTCCAAGTTCTGGGACTACACGCGTGTTTACTGCATCTGGCTGGGTATTTTACTTTTATAATTGCACAAACCGCTATAGTGCATGGGTAACAAACACTAATGCTCCTTTTATGTATTCATTATTGGCTCAGTGTGGTTGGGAGCCCTTGCCACTCTTTCAGAGGACCTGATTTCAGTTCCCAAAGCCCACAACAGGTGGTTCACAACCTCTTGTAGCTCCAGTTGCAAGGGGGCCAGTGACGACTTCCGGTTTTTATGGTATCATCAGATAAGTACGCACACATACACATGAGTAGGAATAAAAACTTAACAATCCTTTAAAAGACACTAGGAGTCCGAAACTGAGAAGATGCATATAGATTTTCTAAAAAGTCTGAAGTGCAACACCGTTGCTGAAAGCCTGGCTTGGGCTGCTTCACTAAGTCTCCTGGCTGCCCATGCAGAAGTGACCGCCCACGTAGCTTCTTTACAAACCTGATGAACAGAGCAGGGGAAGTAGTAAGAAAAACCAATCTCCTCCCTAACCCTAGATTCCTTAGGGAAACCGGTCTCTGAGACCTTATATAGGCAATAACAATACAGTACCTTTAATCATAATAAAATGCCAAGACATACTCCATATAATCGCTTTAATGAAAAGCAGAGGGAAATAAAGTTATCTAGGAGAACACTTCAGCAGGAAGTAAAGTAATGTGGTTTCCTGGTGTTGTCTGACCACAGACTAGATAGGGGGGTGTGGAGAGGAGAGTTGACTGGCTGTCCACCACCACCCAGCAACCTCAGCGGAGGAACCAGAAACCAGAAAACTGGCGAAATAGCTTGTCTCCAGTAGCTGGCTGCACCCACGAATCACCCACACCCATTCAGACAATGAAGAGTTTCTGCCAGACGGCAGTTTAGGTTTGGTATAATTGAGGTTGGTCTGTTTGTGTGTAATTCACTGCAATGAGCTTGGGTTTGAAACTTAGATAGTTTGGGCTCTGTGAAGTCAAGACTGTCAACCGTGACAATCTAGATTCAGCTAAGAGACAAACTTCTCAGCGTGTCTGTGAGAGTTTCTAGATTGGGAGGGCCCACTCTAACCATGGGTGGCATGACTCTATGGATTGGGGTCCCAGATCAATTAAAACGGGTGGGGGGGGGCAGGGAGAGCATCGAGAATGACCACTCTTCTTTCTCTGTTAAGTGTGAGTGAAATGTGGCCGGCTGCTTCATATTCCCGCCACATTTTCCCATCATGATTAACTGTTTGGGAACCAAAACAATCCTTCCTTCCTTCCTTCCTTAGGTTACTTTGGCTGAGGATTTTGTCAAAGAAATGTGAGCAGTAACTAACATGGGTTCTGGTCCCAGATCTGCCGCTTGCTAGCCCAAAGTCACCACCACTCACCAAGCCTTAGTTTTCTTGTCTGTGAAGTGGGATAGGTATACTTACTACTAGGCTCGGCAAATGATTATAAGGGTTATGCAGAAGCTCCTCTCAAGGAGCCTGGCATGTGTCTGTTAACATTAATCATGTCAGATCTCATACGCTAATTATAGGATCTTGTGGAGCAGGAGGGGAAGAGATGTCATCAAAGTAGTTGAGGCTGTAGATTCTTGCTGTAGCAGGGAGACCTGCATTCAATTCATTAAGGATAGGATACATTATGATGCATAGTCCTGAGGCAAATATCTACGACGTTTTACCCTGAATTTAACCCTGAGTTTATTTCTGCTAGTGTTAACATAGTTGACCTGTATGAGTCAGATGAGCCTCAGACACCATGGGTGTCTGTGACTTGAGTGAGAAGGTACTTGGAAGCCCGAGTTTGACTATGAAGAGACCCAAGGACATCTGAAGAAATCACAGGCTTTGGACGGATGCTCTTTAGAAAAGGCGAGTGGCCAGGGGGCCCTGTGACCACAGCAGGATAGATTAGGGACCAGAGTATTAAAGCAAGGACCGATGATGCACACCCCAGTGAGACCTCCTTTGGCCAGCATCTCATGGTAGCAGACCCCACCTGTGTCCTCCCTGTCGGCAAGTCAGGAGACCAGGCAGAAGTGGTCTCCATTCTGGAATCGGCTCTTTACCAGAACGGGCCTAAGCAGATTCTTCCTATGAGAGGCAAGGGTAATTGTGTCTGTCTTTTGGAAGAAAAAACATTTTTTTTTAATTAGGATTACTGTTGTTTGCCAGCCTTCTTGAGTTCAGAGGATCACAACACTGTGGGACTACAGGACTGACCATAGGCAGTCTACCCTCCTCGCTCCTGCCTTCCGAGGGTAGGGGGACGGGGACGGAA